AAAACCAGGAACTCGATATTGATGAGGTGGTACAGCTGATGCCAACCGTGGGTCAGGATCTCGACCCACACGTTGGAACTTGGTGCTCGAAGAAGATTCGAGAGCTGCGAGTTGCGTCTTCCCAGTCTGAGACTAGACGATCTCGCCGACGCAATACTAGAAGCAACGTGGACAGGATTCCCACTGCTGTAGTGGAGAATTTAATTCATCGAGCGAATAATGCACGGCCTTCTGGTCGGGCTCATGAGAAACCAGGCAATTCTTGGCTGCGTTATCACCAGCAGCTCAAGGTGCCGGCCTCGTTAATGCAACGTGTTCAGACGCGATTGTGGATGGCAAAGACATCGTACACAGAGTCCACCAAGGAATCTACGCCCGAATCTCTTTCGACGTCATTACGATCGGTTGCTGCAACATTTTGCTCTGTGAAGCGCGACGATCTGCTCGGACAGTTAGCCACGATGAAATTGTCCAAAAGTGCGGAAAAGTGGGTGGCGCCGGATTCAGGAGGTCTTAGCCTGGGAACGCTTGAGTTCGTTCACAACATGACAGCTAAACAACGGGAAATCTGCGCTGCAAATGCTTGGACTGATGACTCGGAGGGAAGAATGCTGCACAGAGTCACGATGGCCACACGGCTGCAACTAGAAGACTCCATCGCTCTGCGAAACCAGGCTCAAGCGGTGCTTGGGCGTTTGCCAACGAAGTTATCATAGAGCATTGACATGCTAGTCATCAAACTGCTGGCAATGGAGCTACAAGTTTATCGGATAAGCTGCAGCTGATGGGTATTCAACTGCTCTCATCTGTTCATCCGAGCAATTTGTAGCTTGATCAAAGTATTGTTAGTGCTGAAGACTATTTTTCCAGCTGTCATAAGAACTCGTTTGCACTTGAAATACGCACGCATATGAACGTGGAGAGAGTGTATATTTTTGCAACGTTGGTAGAGATGCTCACTTGACTCACTTCCCATTCCTCCTTCTACGTCATGGACAAACAGGTTCGCCTCGACGACTTGAGTACCCCACCCGGTACGCCGTCAGACCGCAGTCAGTTCTACCACGACAATGCGTTCTTATACAAGTACAACGAGTCGCACACTCCGTCGCGCGCCGGTGGAGACCCAATGATGCCGGACGATCTCAAGGCTGACAACAATAACCCGTCCACCATGTTCATCTCGCTCTACAACCAGCGATCAAGTACCCCTATCAAGTACGTCGTAGCAGCAGCAGGCATCGGAATTGGTCTCGGTATTTTATTCGCGCACCTCAAGATCGACGGAGCCTACGCTAAGTGGATTTCAATGCCAGGTGATCTTTTCATCGCTGCACTCAGATGTCTGATCGTCCCCATGGTCTTCTGCAGTATTGTTGGCTGCATCGGTCAGCTCGTAGAGGCTGGCAAGGCTGCGTCAATCGGTGGACGTATCATGAGTTACTTTGCCCTGTGCTCCGTGGTATCGTCGGGTACTGGTGTACTTTTCGGTGTCTTGTTCTCGTCGTTCTTCATCCAACAAATGAAAGGAGATGAATCGGACGTCGTGACGGAACTCCGCATGCACTGCTGGAATGGCGACGTATTATCCATGATCAAAACTGGAGGAATCGCCTGTGTCAAAGACACTAACGCGACAGAACTGACAAGCATCCTGGCGCTTAACGACACGAGCTCCAACTTCGCTACTGCTACCGCAACGTACACGGACATCAACGTTTCGCAACAGCTCTTCGCTATTCTCAACGAAATCATCCCGTCGAATATGGTGAAAGCGTTCTCCAGTTCGTCCACTATGGGGGTTATCACGTTGGCCATTTTCTTCGGTATCGCCGTCGTCATGAGCCACGAACGCACTCGTCGACAACTCGCGCTAGGTGGGGGACCAGCTGGAACGACCAAGACCGACATCGACATTAACCACTTACTTTTGCTCATTAACCACGGTGGACTAGTGTGTCAACTCATGATCAACTCGGTGGTGTCTCTCATTCCGTTTGCTATCGTGTCCATGATTGCCGGGTCGATGGCTCAGTACACGTCGTCGATGGACCTCGTTGAGAGTGTTGGTTTTCTCATTGTAGCCTTGGCACTGGCACTGATTACTCTTACGTATGGCATCATGGGGATGGCGTTGTTCGTGACCACGAGAGTGAATGTTTTCACGTATTTGCGCCACATTATTCCTGCTCAAGTTTTCATCTTTGGCTGCTCGTCTTCGATTGCTACACTACCGATGACCATGCGTTGTGTAGACTCGACTCGTGAGGTTTCGTACGCTTTGTCTCGGTTCCTATTGCCTCTTGGAGCTACGAGTAACCTGAATGGAAGCGCTTGCTACATGACGCTGGCCTGCGTCTTCATGGCTAAAGTGGGCGGTTATGGAGATCTGTTGACGCCCTTACGCTACGTTTTGCTGGTGCTTGTGGGTGCGATCGCATCGTTCGGTGTGGCTCCCGTGCCTCACTCTGGTTTGGTCATGGCCATCACAGTCTGGCACACAGCCTTCAACATGGACGTCCCGCCCGTGTTTTCGCTGCTGGTGGGCGCCGACTGGCTGCTGAACCGCATGCGAGCCATCGTGAATATCACGAACGACACGATCCTGGTGAGGATCATCGCGGATCAGTGCGACGAGACCACCATTACCGAGCTTGAGCTCGAAGCGCAACCAACGCACCTA